AGAAAAGGGAAGGAGGGAGGGAAGGAAGGAAGGAAGGAGAAAGGAGAAGGAAGAGGGAAGGGAAAAGAAGAAAAGGGAAGGAGGGAGGGAAGGAAGGAAGGAAGGAGAAAGGAGAAGGAAGGGGGAAGTCAAGAACTAACTTTACTTCCACTTTGCTCTCATAATTCTTCTTTCTGCAGATGGTGTCGTGTTGGTGGACCCAGAATACTTAAAAGAGCGGAAAGGTAAAATAATTGATGATTTATTCTTAAATTTATCTAGCAACCCAACTCACACACAGTGGCAACGGGCCATGTTAAAAATCCCACTTAAAAAATCACCATTTAAAACACTCTCACTTCCATCTCAGGAGGTTGGATCCAAAAACAAGCCGCGTGATTTACACACTTCGAGCTACGCAATTTGGGGTGAAGACCCTTGGAATGGGGTGGGAGAAGGAATGGATTTCCAGGGGAAAAATTGAAGGAACCATTTGCACCACTAAGGGGACCCTGAGGACACAGATAAAACCTCCAAGTGGCCTCAAGGACCCTCTCAAAGGATGCAAAGGACCAGCTGTCTGCAAGGAGCATCAATCCTTCCATTCCTCACCATCCAATCAGAGCTGAAGAAGCTTCTGGGATGAGAAGAGAAACTTCTTCAAGGAAAAAAAGAAAGTCCAGTTGCCTCTTGATAAAAAAAAACACCTTTGGGACAACCTGGATGATGGAGAATCTCTTCAGATTTTGAGCTATACAATTTGGGGTGAAGACCCTTGGAATGGGGTGGGAGAAGGAATGGATTTTCAGAGGGGAAAAAATTCCAGACTACAGGAACCATTTGCACCACTCAGGGGACTCTGAGGACACAAATAAACCTCCAAGTGGCCTCAAGGACCCTCTCAAAGGATGCAAATGACCAGTTGTCTGCAAGGAACATCAATCCTTCCATCCTCCACCCTCCAGTCAGAGCTGAAGAAGCTTCTTGGATGAGAAACGAAACATCTTCAAAGAAAAAACAAGAAAGTCCAGTTGCCTCTTGAAAAAAAGCACCTGTGGGACAACCGGGACCTTGGATGGTTGAGGATCTCCACAGACATTTACAACCTGAAGTCAGAAGAACCCACAACCTGCTGGGATGAAGGAGGCCACCAGATCTAGAGAACATGGGCCTTCACAGAGAGAGAGAGAGAGACACACAGAGAGAAATGACATCCAAGCCCATCGGACAGTGAGAAGACTTAACCAGTGGAACGACTTGCCACCAGATGTTGCACAGTGGGTGAAGACATTGGACAGCCATGGGTCTGAAACTATACAGATAGTCCTTGACTTAAGGGAAACGTTCCCTTGCACATATGTGCTAGTTGTTCCTGACTCTAGGGGCCGCTGCTCATCTCCATTTCAAAGCCGAAGAGCCAGCGCTGTCCGAAGACGTCTCCGTGGTCATGTGGCCGACATGACTCAATGCCAAAGGCGCACGGAACACTGTTCCCTTCCCACCAAAGGTGGTTTCTATTTTTCTACTTGCATTTTTTAATGTGCTTTCGAACTGTTAGGTTGGCAGAAGCCGGGATAAGTCACGGGAGCTCCCTCCGTTACGCGGCACTAGGGATTTGAATGTTGAATGTTGAATGTTGAA